CGCGCTCTGCCTTGGCTGGAGTCCTTGTTCCGATCAGGTCGGTGTCAGTGCATTTTTCTGCTGCTGCCGGAAGACCCAGGCGCGCCGTGGTTCCGGGCGGCTGTTTTGCGTCGTTGGCGGCGCAGGGCCTGGTGGGCCACCTTTTTCCGGTTGTGGCGGAGCGAGGGCTCGTCTGTGACGTGGCGTGAGGCCCCGGTCATTGATCTGCCAACCATGCTATTCTCTGGCCTTGAAAAAACAATTTATCTTGGCGAAGGTACCAACCATATGCAGTTGTGGGTATCGTAATTGTGAACATGTGCTTCGGTGGAGCTCCCTATGGGGCCACGAAGCGCTGCACTGGGCGGGGGAGCGCTGTACTGTGTGGGTGGTGTGCCGACTTGGGTTTCCGGGACGCATGCGGACGGTCCCACTGAGGGCTTCGGTGGAGCTCCCTATGGGGCCACAAAACGCTTTACTGAGTGAGTGAAAATGTCATATTGGGTTAAAGGGACGCATGCGGACGGTCCCACTGGGGGCTTCAGTGGAGCCCCCTATGGGGCCACGAAGCGCTGCGTTACGTGGGTGAAAATGCCAAATTACATTTCCCAGACGGCACTGGGGCCTTGGGTGGGGCTCCCTATGGGGCCACGAAGCGCTGCATTGGGTGAGTGAAAATGCCATATTGGGCTTCCAGGGCGCTTGCGGACGGGGGCACTGGGGCATTCGGTGGAGCTCCCTATGGGGCCACGGAGCGTTGTACTGGGTGGGTGAAACGCAGGTGGGGTGGGGAGGAGGGCCACGAAGCGCCGTACTGGGTGTGCGGGACGCATGCGGACGGTAGCGTTGGGACCTTCGGTGGGGGTCCCATATGGGGCCACGAATCGCTGTACTGGGTGTGCGGGACGCATGCGGACGGTAGCACTGGGACCTTCGGTGGAGCTCCCTATGGGGCCACGAAGCGTTGTACTGGGTGGGTGAAACGCAGGGGGGAGGGGGAGGAAGGCCACGAAACGCTGTACTGGGTGTGCGGGACGCATGTGGACGGTAGCACGGGGACCTTCGGTGTAGCTCCCTATGGGGCCACGAAGCGCTGTGCCGGGTGTGCGGCACGCATGCGGACGGTAGCACTGGGATCTTCGGTGGGGCTCCCCATGGGGCCACGGAGCGGTGTACTGGGTGGGTGAAACGCAGGGAGGAGGGGGAGGAAGGCCACGAAACGCTGTACTGGGTGTGCGGGGCGCATGCGGACGGTAGCACTGGGACCTTCGGTGGAGCTCCCTACGAGGCCACGAAGCGCTGTACTGGGTGTGCGGAACGCATGCGGACGGTAGCACAAGGACCTTCGGTGGGGCTCCCTATGGGGCCACGAAGCGCTGTACTGGGTGTGCGGGACGCATGCGGACGGTAGGGAAGAGGGGGGGGCACGAGAAGAGGAAAACGCGGGGACCGTCTCTTCAAAACGACGACCCAACACCACAGGATGGTTGGGAACAAATCATCATTCATCTGGTCATCATCATCATGTGTTCGCTCTTCGTCATCATCGTCTCTTCATCGCCGTCGTCGCGTCCTCCCTCCGCGACTTCCCTTGTCCCACACATTGTGTAGTGTCTTGTCGAGTGAGGGGGCTGAACGGTCGTTGACTTTCTCAATCTTCCGCGATTGCGGGGTGCCACGTGGGCGACGCAACATTGCAGGGGAGACGTTCATTACGTCGGCGCACTCTTCCCTCTCCCGTGTCCTTTCTTCCCTCCCTCTCACTCGTGCGTCCTGCCTCGCCCCAGGGTGGTGGGTTTGTCTGAGTCCTCCCATCGAGTGCCAGAGCCAACGCCCCCTCCGCACCTGCGATTAGCCGCCGCTCTGCAATTCGAGGCCCAAGCCACTTGCAGTGACCAGCATGCAGACAATCCGCGTCCGTTCGGCGACCCCCCCGCGCCCTGCAATGGCTTGTGTCGCCCCATACGTGTTCGGAGAGGAGGCCGCGAACGCGTGGTTCAAGGCAGCCATCCTTCCGAACGGGCCCCTTGCAGAGACGCTCCAGACCGCCGTCAAGGAGGGGGTCCGCGAGCGCATCCAGTCAACGCTTTCGGACCCGAGTCGCCACTCAACACGGCGATGTCTGCCGCCAGCTTGTTCGTGGTGCTCAGGGCCGCGGAGCAGAGCGACAGCATTCAGGCTGTGTCCGCCGCAGTTGCCTCGCTCACGAAGGAAGAAGCCGACCTTGACGAACAGTTTCCCTGGCGCAAGTACCTCGGGGACTGCGACCCCACGAAGATCGCGCTGGGGTGGCGTAAACTGAACATCGACAAGGATTGGTAGCAAAACGCAGCAGATTTCATGGTCGACCCCGCAGTCGCCAACATCGTGGCCGATTTGTGCAGCGATCCGGACAGTCCTGAGGCCGAGCAGTTGAAGCGCGCAGTCATGTTGAAGAACGCGCCGAAGACTTCTTGGAAAACTCATTGCCTGTCGCCCCACGGCGGCAACCCCGACGAGTTCCGCTCTTTCATGTCCGACA